GCCAACGGAACAAATCAGTCAGGAAACCGCCGTACTGGACTACTGCACCAAATAGAGACTCCCCGCCGGCCCACTGGGAAACCTGGTCAATCGATATCATCTCCCAACTTCCGCCCTCGGTCGATAGACACGGCAACACCTTCACGGCAATCGTAGTAGTAGTAGATCGTCTCTCCAAGTGCTCCCACTTCTTTGCAGCCGACGATCACTTCTCAGCAACAGAAGCAGCCGAACTCATCTACGAGCACATTCTGAAGCACCACGGTATTCCCCGACAGATCATCTCCGACCGAGGAACACAGTTTGCGAGTGCAGCGTTCAAGGAGTTTTGCAAGTTGCTAGGGATTCGATCGTCAATGTCCACAGCCTACCATCCACAAACAGATGGACAGACTGAACGAGTAAACCAATCTCTTGAACAGTACCTCCGGATCTTCACTGAACATCGGCCAGATGACTGGGCGTCCCTTCTATCCACCGCGGAGTTTGCGTACAACAATGCACCGCACGAGTCGACTGGCCTGTCACCATTCTTCATCGAATACGGGTACAACCCAAAGATGGCTCCCGATGTTCGTGAAGAGCTCGCCTTCCCAACCCTCGAAGACGTATTTCACAACCGTGCGGAAGCAAGAGAACAAGCACAGGCGTCACTCACCATGGCCGCAGAACGAATGAAATGGTACTACGATCAGGGCTGTGTGGACCCTCCCTTTAAGGTTGGCGACAAAGTTTTGCTCAAAGGACGCGACCTCAAGATCCGCAACTCGTCAGCCAAGCTCTCAGCCAAGAACTATGGGCCCTACGAGATGACGGAAAAGATTGGACCCGTCGACTTTAGAGTCAAACTTCCACCACAGAACAAGGTCCACCCCGTCTTCCACGCGTCAAAACTCATCCCCTACCACGAAGACGAGATCGGCAACCGCAATCCGGAGAAGCCTGACCCAATTGAAGTCGAAGGCCACGACGAGTTTGAGGTCGAAAAGATCCTGGACTCACGCGTCAACCGTGGATACGTGCAATACTTCGTCAAATGGGCTGGCTACGATGTCTCTGAAGCAACTTGGGAGCCTGTACGGAATGTCAAATACGTGAAGGAGCTACTCGATGAGTTCCATGCACTCCATCCAAACCACCGCAACCAGTCGCTCTCAACAACCCACGACCAGTCGCCCGGGAGTTTCAACGCAATATCTGGTTTGAACGCTTCGCAGGAGCTCAGATCTTGAAGAGGGGGTAGTGTCACAGTTTTCTCGTGCCACGTGACCTGGGGGTCATGTGTACTGGGACAGACGCTCACCTTGACCGCGGACAACTTGTATCGGAGAGTGGAGGGGCCAGGATCGAACCCCAGACCTCGTGACGGCCAGGAGCGCCCATCCTCACTCACAGGCAGGTGACTGATGTGACAGTAGGAGCGCTTACTCATTGGGAGGGGTCCGGACTCGGCACGACTCAGGTATTAGTCGTAAGGTCACCATGAGGCAGGTCAGAGGGTAGGACATGAGGCAGAGAACTCTGACCAAACGATGGTCAATAGGTACCTGGTCTGTGCACCATTGTATTAGTATATATAGTAGGGAGTCTGAGGCAGGGAACCTCAGACTTGATCTTCTCGTCGATTCCCCATCTCCTCTGTAGGTAGCTAACAGCCCTATCTCCCTCACTACCCCTTCTAGTCTAGGGAATACATCTCTTCACATCTCTTGCTTTGTCACCTCTGGTTGCTTCGCTTCTCAGCACCAACCTCTGCATCAGTAAGCTTTGCCCTTGTTTGTTTTGGTGGCACAGCTCGTTGGCTGTGACAGTACCGGTTCTTCACTGTGATCTCGTTGAGCTTGCGGTAGTCCTGGACTAGACGGAGCTTGCCATCCTTCTTCTTCACGAAGAAGACCAGGGACTTGGAGGGGACGATGTAGCCTTTCCGAAGGTTTTCCTCAAGGAACCGATCGACCTCTTCCTGCTCGTTAGGCGACATCGGGTAGGCCTTGGAGCGTAGAGTTTCTGGGGCGTCGGGTTTGAGGTCAATGGCATGGTCGTACGGCTTGTGCTCCGGAAGACGCTCCGATTCGGTCTCGGAGAAGACTTTCGAGTACTGTCGGTACTCTTCAGGGACGATCTCCTCGAACGTGCGTTTGGGCTTGTCCCGGTTGGCCTTCTGTGCGAGTTCCGTGGAGTAGGTGTACTCGGCGGCGCACCACAACTCCTCGGTAGTGTCTTCCAGAACCTTGGCCTTCCACCACTTCCTTCGCTGCACCCGGTTGGCGGCGATCCGCTCGATACCGGGTTTCCATTCCGCCTCGGCCTCTGTTTCCTCCGCACCAACCTCCATGGTGCCCTCCTGCCAGTCAATGTCCGGATTGACCCTGTGAAGCCAAGGTAAGCCTAATATGACGTCTTCGGGGCCCAGATCCGTAACTAAGAACTCGAGCCATTCCGTGTAGTCGCCCATAAGTACTTGTAACCTAACGTAATGAGATATGCTGCCTGCACTGTTCTTGGAGCCGTCGATGTTATAGAGGGGGATGTCTCTAGCTAACCTATGTAAGTAGACATTGTTCTTCTTTACGAAACGATGGCTGATGAAAAGGGCCGTTGCCCCACTGTCTATCATAGCTGCGGAACGTACACTACGGTTCCTGCCTTTGAGTATCACGCTGACACGAAAATGCGAGCTGGATGGGTTTAATTCAGGGATGATACACGAACTAATGCTATCGTACAGGCAGGGGTCAGGGATCTGGGGAGGCGAAGAGTCCGTAGTTGTACTGGAGGGCGCCGCTGCGGCAGCTTTCGCATGTGCCCGCTCTAAAAAGACTTCTGCAGAGAGGCAAGCTGGTCTGCGAGGGCCTTCTGCTGCTCCATGAGCTGCGCGATGAGGGCGTTGGGTGCTCCGGCATCTGCAGACGTCGACGTCGAAGCTGCAACCTGGGGTTCCTCAGGTCCCTCCTCCGTGGCGGCGAGCTTCTGCGAACAGGGCTTCTTCAGGAACTTGTCCATGCACACCGTCTCGCGGTGCCCTACGCAGCGACAGTAGCCGCAGATGTCCCGGTCGTGGCCACCGTCCTTCTTGACGTGCGCCGTAGAGCCACAACCATAGCACTTGCCGCGCATGAGGCGGTTGAACTCTTCGCGCGTACGGGTCGCGTCGATGTCCATTGCGTTCGGGTCCCGGGCAGGCGGCGTGAAGGGGGTGGTATGCAGCGGAACAGCCGGCTTGGCCGCGGTGGTGGTGGTGGTGGTGCGTCTGCGCTGACGATCCCGTTCGGCACGGTGTTGGCAGACACGGACGTCGATGTCGGAGGAGACGGTGATGAGGTCTTTGAGGGAAGCGATGGGCCTCGCTGTATGCACTAACTTGTCCTTGATGGAGTCCGCCAGGTGTTCGTAGAAGCGGTCTCGGAGGTCGGCCTTGGAGTAACCTGTGCGGGTGGAGAGCTCGTTGAACTGTGCAGCGTACTCCGGGACAGTCATGGAGCCTTGCCACAACGTACAGAGGCGTTCCTTCGCATCGACCGCCTCGTCGACTGTCTCGAAACGGGCCTTGAACTGGGCGCGGAACTCCGTCCACGAGCCTTTGAACGGAGTGGTGCCTTGCGTGATCTCCTCCATCGCCGGGGTGGCCCAGAGAGCTGCACTGTCCTGCATGAAGGAGAGGACCGCCCGAATCCATTGGTCATCGCGCGCGCTGATCGCATTGCCCATAGCATCGACGTGATTGAGCGTCGAACCTTGGGACATGGCCCAGAGGGTGAACGCTGCCAGGAAACGCCGTGCCTCACCTCCTTGTTCGCCTTTGAAGGCGGAGGGCTTCTGAACAGCCTTCAGACCGCTGGTCCCGGTGGTCGAGTTTGCGAGCTGCGCCATGGACTGGGTGAGGAGAGTCATCGACTGGAGTAATACCGTCATGGGGTCCGGGGGTTGCGCTGCCGTCTGGGTGCCCGGTTGGGCCTGCTGGGGGTTGTTGGCGGGGCCTGTCGTCTGCGGTTGTCCGCCTTGTTGTCCCATGATGGGT